AAGGCAAATAAAATTGTTTGGGATTTTTTACTCTCCTAATCCATCACATCCTGTTCAGAGACTGGCAACAAACTATAGGTAAATTATTGAGGGTTGGCCATGATTGAGCATTTCTTTGTACATATCTTTTAACAATCATGGCCAACCCTCAATAATTTACCTATAGCTTGTTACCAGTCTCTGAACAGGATTTGATAGATTAGGCGACTCAGACTCTACTCCATAGATCAAACCAAAAAGGAAATTACAATTGATTATGTTTATGTGAATTCTGTAGCCCATTCCATAATTTTAGGCTTTTGGAACCATTGGGTGATTTGTTTGTATTTGGTACCCAATCACTTTTATGATATTCAACTTCTAGTCTAAAATTTTTGTTCTTGATTAGTTGGGGGTTTTTTTTAATTCAAAGAGGTCATAAGCAAAATTAATCATTCCTGGTTTTTGAACGGCTAAGAGGAAGTACCGTAGACCTTTGCAGAGAGTGGAGATTTTATCTATTCTTTACAGTAAAAACAAAATTTTCAAAGCAGAAAACCACACACATTGCTGCTGCTGCAAAGTGGTAGCTTTCAAAGTGACTCTGTAGGGTGCCTACTTTTTTGCTCTCTACTTTTTCTTATAGCTTGTTTTGAGCTAGAATAATCAAGTTAGCTTTTTGTTGCTTGTAATTTACACAAATTCTCAACTCTATTTCAGACTCTGTCGCGTCCATAAATGAAGATGATAGTAATGGTCTGTATAGCACCCTCAATGAACCAGGCACTGTTACTGCAGACACAGAAAGGGGACAAGTGAGTTTCACACCAGCCCAGAGAGGCCAAGATAATCCGACTTTCTACAGCAATGTGTACGACAATGAACCAAAGTCACAGCAGAAGGCTCAACCAGGCGGCCCAGCATATTCGTCTGTCTCCACCTCTTCAAACCCAAATTCACCTATAAAATTAGGCGAGGGAGAAGTGGACAGTCGAAATACAGCGAGTGTGAGTGACATCAGGCTCAGGTTCGAAAAATCTACTTGAGACCCCTAGGGACATTGAGTTACCAGAGTGTAGTGTTCAATATTTGCCTTTGTTTCCAGGTGAAATGCTGATAATAATTTATTGTTTGTGAAAACCTTAATAATAGTGCCTGCCCTTTTAATTTACACCGTTTTATGACAATAACTGGCAATGTGGTTTTTAAAGAGAAATAGTGGCCTACTTTTGTTTAGATGGAAACATTGCCAGCTGTCAGCTTAAAGATGATTTTATTTGAGTTTTACAGTATACAGCTTCGCTTTGTTCAGATTTTTAATTCTGTTGATCAAGAATTCCATGTATGCTCTTTTAACTTTTTTGTTTATTTTTTTTTTGTCAATGAAAAAAATTTGTGAAAAGTTCAGGAATGATACGACTGTTGTCTCAAGCCTGAGATCTTGACACCTTTGGTCCAACCAGTCATATAGGACAGCATTTTTACTCCATGCATATATATATATATATCCTCAGCATCGTTCTACAAGCACTGATTCATTTTTTGAAGTTTGAAAAAATGTGCGAAAGAGGGTACCCAAATTAGATCTATGCCTTGAGCACTCTTTATTGTTCAAAGAAAAACTACAAGGGAAGTTACGAAACAGACACGGGACTGCCTCACCAGCAGATATAAGCTGACATACGTTATCACTGCCAGATATTGCACTTTCTGAAGCAGACAATTCTATTGTGTATTCTTCCCCCTCCTTGCCCCCCCCCCCCCCCCCCCACAGAAACACCTGCTGAGTCTTTGAGTCTTGGGTGGAGACTACTGCAAATAGGCAAGCAGACTGACAATCCTGTTGATCATAGTTTATATTGATTAAGCCACTCGTATTCATAATTGATTTAATATTTTCTATTGCGATGACTGTGTTTTGTGCAATGTAAGCTTTTTGATGTTTTGTACAATAAGAAATCACTAAATGAGTGTCTCTCTAGCCACTATCTGTAACTCCACACTGTTGTCCTCACTTTATGTGAAAGTTGAAATGTAGATGCTGCTTTAAATTGTTCACCTGAACCCTTGCTAGAACTTCCATCGAGCTTCCGTTGAGCACAACTGGTTTACATGTTCTTGTCTGAGCATTCGGAACTTTTAAGCTATGAAAAAAACAAATGTTTACCAAAGTACTTGTTTGCTGTTATGCAGTTGCTTCTTAAAGCTTTTCACCTTTATACTGACCTGAGTGATATGGATAAAAGTGAGAGTTAAAATGGAGTATGAAAAAGGAGATAGTTGATGATGTCTTTTTATTTTAATTTAATATTGTGAATACACAGGTGGGAATAGAGTTTTGAATGCCTGGCTATTTTGTAGTGTACAGAACGAAAGTACGAAAATATTTATTTTGGTAGTGGATAAGGATTTGGGTCTAAGGTTTAGAGCAATGAAATGTGGATCAATTTTTTAAGTCTCATTTGTGTTAAATATTTTTAAATCTCCAAGATAAACATTTGTTAGGAATTCTTTTTTTTTCAATAACTTTAAAAGGGATGAACCTTCAAGATCTGAACCTTAAAAAACAGCCTTCTGAACAGCTGGTATTCTTTTTTTCTCCTAATGATCTATTAAAAAGCTCTCATGCTTAATTTTGGTCTAGCGTACAGTATTCAACATTCCAAGCCAAGCAAATAGCTCTACATATTTCCAGCCCTTTGCTTATAAGGTAGGCCCTATAAATTTATTTGGTTGCAGTCAGAAGAGCACATGCATCATTTTGTGAATTTCTGTTATTGAGTTTGCTTTTGTCAGGAATTGAAACTGACAAAAACAAGTAATGTTTGCTCAAATGGGAGTGCATATTTATATATTCTTCTGTCACTGTTCTATGATTGATATTTAAGTTTCTACAAATGTCAAAGGAGAACTGAGAGAAGCTGATGAAACCATAGTTGATACTTTTGCAGTGAACTGTTTGTGATATATTTCTTAGCAATACTAACTGTTCACAAGCTATACGTCTGTACTCACTTTTTTTTCTTTGCCTAATGATATAAATCTCAAATGTATTCAAATGTAGAATATGTTTTTGGTATGGAAGCGTACATATTTATATCCATGTTATAGTCTTCATTTTTTAGCGCTATGCCAACACTGATTGTTATTTTATCAATGATGTAGATTACTTTGTTATTGGCTTTAACAAATGATGCCTTATACATTTGGAGCTTTATCCTGAGATCTCTACAATATAGGCCGTCCTGCTCAGTGGTAAACTGTATTTGAAGTATTCTAGATTGTGACAATTTGAATAGATACCACTCCAAGAACAATTTTGAGTTACTCCACCACATATGTGATGTAGAAGTTGCCAACTCATCAATAGAAATAGCTATACTTCATAAAACACTGGTTACATCTACTTAGGCTAGTTACATAGCATCCCTATAATTTCTTCTCCCGCACTTTCTCGGAGATCCTGCTTAGCATCTTTCTGAAACATTATTGAGAAAGCTCCTGTTGAGACTGAAAGTATGACCTCTCCTTTAATTCGCTGCCCCACAGCAGGCTGGGATGTACGGGTACCATTAGTGCTGTCTCATTTTACCCCCCAAAAATGTTATTTGATGTTATGTGTGGAGACTACACCCTGTGTAAAATACTGCAAGTGTCATAATATTCTTTCTCTTCCAAACATTGATATTTTATCCAGGGTTTTCATCCCTCAAGTCCTGGTTTGTCCAGGTAGACAAGCCTTCCTTACACTCCAGGGAGAGGCGGAGGGGGATTGTTTGTCAGTACAATGCCCGTTGCTGCAGAAATAAAGCTGTGTATTAGGCTTATGTTAACCGTTTCCATCTATTTGTTTAGGATAGTTTTATCATGTTTCTTTTGCACAAAAATGCGGCAAAGCAGAAAATTGTGAAAAAAGTTTCCTATGGCTTAAGTTGTTACATAAGTTTTGAACCCATCTTCTCTCCCCTAGTGAGTTACAAAGCGAGCAACTCTCTACCAAGCCCCTTGTCTATTCCACAATTGAGGCAAAGTAAAACCTGTGGTAGGTTGATATTATTTTGTACTAGACTGTACTTTGAGACTTTCAGATGCACGTTAGTACAGTGTGACAGAAAGTTGCCAAGTTTGAAAATCATTTGTTCCATAAATAGACAGTTTGATAGTAGAAAGACACAGATAGAGAAAAGTAGACAAATGGAGAGAGATGATCCATACCTTGCTGAAGATTTGGCTGTTAGTGCCTTTATGAAGAACATTTTATGTAAATTCTTTTTTCTCCGTTTGTTGTTCTTGCCTGTAAGGAAAATTGACTTGCAGCAATCACGAAAGCCTTTCAAGCATAATGACCAAATTCAGCACATTTTTAAAAAATAATTTTATTTTAGCTATTTATAAAATCTGATGTTTTCTTGTGGTATCTTCCAATGGTTTCTTTTATTTTCTTTGCATAATATTAATAAAATATAAAAATGGTTATGACCATGGCATTGTTCTCTTTTACAGTGACATAAATACTGCCTTCTTATGACAAAAAAATGTATGCATAATTAGGTCTCATAGTGTTTTTATATAGGGGAGAAACCCCTTTTCAAAGCACGTCTTTTTAAGATAAGATAAGATAGTACTTTATTATCCCAGAGGGGAATTTATCTTGGTTTGATGGCGGTACAATTAAAATTAAGGAAGTTTTTGGCTTCTGAAAATATGCATTGTAACCTAATTGCATATCGATATTGTTATGACTAAATACATTTTAATCAACTACTGCCTAACTATTTACTGTATACCTCAGCAAATCAGACAAAAGTTACACCGGCCAATGAATATTGACATCAAATAATCAGATCGACCAAATTTTAGTTAAGTTGAAACACACACAAAAAGTTAGTTTTTTTGCCTCTCTTGTGAAATGTCATTTTTGGCATATACGTTTTTCTGTGATAAGACGGCAGAATAGTCAAATTTACTTTGAGGAAATCTGAGAATATCTTTTGGAAGGAAGAGGGTGGAGAGTTTGCTGTTAACTGTGTTCATAGAAGGGGAAGGATTAGTGACTGGGAAAAGGGAAGGGGAGGACTTCCGTAACGAGCGACCACTATGAGACAGAGCAGAATTGAGGGCTTGAGGTAGGGGTAAGGGTTGGGTTAGGGTTAGGGGTAGAGTTAGGGGTAGGGTTAGGGGTAGGGTTAGGGGTAGGGTTAGGGTTAGGGTTTGGTCTAGGCCTCTTCTTTATTGTGTTTGATGAGGTGTTCGCTCGTTACGGAAGTCCTTCCAAGGGAAGGGTGAGGGGTCTGTTTTTACTGTGTTCATGGAGCGGTTAGGGTCAGGGGAAGAGAAGGGTGCAGTGGAAGGAGAGGGGGGGAGATCTCATTTTTGTAGTTCTCCTCTCATACATTTCTGTTTGTTGTTCTTCTTCCTGGGCTTAGGATTTTGGAGTGGTTTTTTTAAATTTTGTTTTGAGTTTTTAGCTAGTTTTTTTTAAATATTGGAACTCACAAGTTCCGTGAAACAATTTGTACAGCTGTGCCTCTACACAAAGATTCCTTGCCTCCTCTGGTGTTGTTGTTTTGTATATTTTTACCAAAAAGCATCATTCCGTTGAATACCATTGTAGCATTTTAATTACTAACTCCGTCATGCTGATGCTGATGTATTTTACTCATTTACTGTTTTGCTTTATATTAAAATGTCTCAACCATGATACTACCATTACCTTGAGTGTTGAGTTTCGGTTCTTGAGGTCAAAATACTAAAAACTTACTCCCCCCACCAGGGCAGTGCTACTGACTGAAGTTGTCTTTAGGCCATTCCCAAAGGGGGGATATTAACATGTTCTTATGCACAGTAGAATTGTGAATGGGCTGATTTATCAATGTCATGCTCATACTGTGCAGGAACAATGCAGGGGGAACTCCTGCTTTTTCTTTCCTCATCCTTACTATCGTCATTTTTCCTCTGCTTCTTTTGTATGTTGGTCACTCTCTTGTGGACTGCTATTTCCAGGGTGCCTTGATAGTCGAAGCAGACTTTGTGCTGTTGAGGCTAGCAGAGTATGCTTGATTTCCCGTTTGGACTTCTTTGTTGACATCCACCCCTTGGCGCTCATATTACCTTATACAGTTGTCAACTTCTTTTTTCAGTGGTTGATCGGAGGTTGTCACTGGTAGATCTGAATTCTTTACTCTCACTCAGTTGTTCTTGTCTGTTAGTCTTGTTTTCTTCTGATACAACATGACTTTTATTGTTTTAATGTACTTCTCTTCACTCAAACCAAGGAGTGATAGGAGAGCAAGCCCTACTTCTTTTCTTTCCTCCAGTTGTTTTTGTCCATTTTTTCTTTCTTTTCCCCAGCTCTAAATGGTTGTTTTCATGTTAATGCGCTTCTTTGTACTCGACTCAAAAAAAGCTAAACTAACCTCTCCAGAAGAGACGAAGTCAATTTTACTTGATTACGCATTGGACACGCAGCCCTAACACACAAATACCTCCTTCAGGGAGATGAAAAGTGTCGGATGCGACACATATTTTACCATTAGACACATTTTAACCAAATGTCAAGACTTCGGAGTGACCCGAGGGAAATACTTTGAATGCAAAAAATTGCAAGACATTTTTT